CTCCAACAGAATATCATCCCTTTCTTTCATGTCATCAAACTCCTCTTCGTCATCATTATCATCATTATCGTCCTTAGACCCATCTGCTACAAGACGCTCTTCTTTTTCTTCTCCAGCATTTCCACTTTGAACATTGTCACGTTCGATAACTCCATAATTGGCTGGATTATTAGGATCAAAAGCCTCTTTCCACTCAACCAACCTCATAGCTCTGTTTATCTTCTGCTGGAGAACAAACTTGTCTTTCCCTTCAGCTACCTTCAAACGATTCATCAGCTCACCAATAACTCTGTATTCAGGTCGAAGTTTGAAATGTTTCTCTTCAAATTTGTCTAGTTTGTTCATCCACTTAAAGGCCTCATCGAGTGTCTCTGCCAGGCAATAATACAATCATAAAGATTGATGAATACATAGACAAGCAATTATAGATGATTCGATTAAAGAAAGAGACAAAATGGTATACCTGACTCTACAAGGGTTTGAAGCAGCTCCTTATGCCTCTTAAACTTCTTATTGAAGATGTCATCTTTCTTGCGTTCTTCATCCCAATCAACCTCGTCGAGTTCACTATCCGAATCAGAAGACTCCTCACGCCGGTTTAATTCAGCATCGTCTTTCAAATTCTGCTTCTTAAGCTTCTCGATAAATGGCTCAATCCCCAAATAGTCCTCATTCTCTTCGTCGTCAATGTCTTTGCAATCCAGTCCTTGTCTCTGCCTCTCTTCTCTCTCACGCTGCCTATCCTTCTCAACGTCCGCTAAAAGATCTCGAATTACTCTATCGGCTTCACCAGGTGACATTGTGCTCGCGGAGGAGAACGGGTTTCTCTGAGATGCGATCCATGGGGTTTGATTTACGGGGAAGAACGGACCGTAGATTCTTCTGGGAAATGCTGATACTGCGGCATCGATAGTGCAGATTTGACGAGAAATGTAGGATCTAGGGTTCCGGTTGACCAGAAGACGAGGCCAGGAGGAAGCACGGGTTCGGAAGGACATTGTTCAGTAGTTTCATCCGATGGAAATGGAAGAGAGAAATCTCGGAAAACCTCTCAGAATCAGATGATTTTAGGGTTTTTCAGTGTTGTTGAGATTGAGATTGTTATTACAACTGGGCTTCCCTCGTGGGCCTAACTTTTGAGAATTTGCATAAAATGTAATTTTTGTGAAAAAGCAACCCGAATATTAATAATTTTAGTTTTTTGAGTTACACAGTTATCCAATGTTAATTTTAATAAGGTTAAATAAATTATTAAATCAATAATTAGAAGAAAAGAGATAAATTAATTGATAAATATTTGGACTGTAATATTTTTTCTCTGAGTTTATTTCACAAGTTTTCTATCCATCAAATTAGCATAAGCATTTGTGATATCCACACCGTTTGTCTAACATTTTGAGCAAAACGAAAAGTCGCACAACTTGGGGGAATGGAGGAAATCAAATCCCTATTCGATTCAATATCTAGTCTTCTGATATGAAATTAATTTGGCGAATCCGTCGGATCACCTGTTTCATTAATAAACAATAGTTTTTCATCAAATAATTTAATATGTAGTTCTGTACAATTTAAATGAAAAACGAAACTTGTAATAAGTCTAGTAAGTCTCCTTAAACACTTAAAATAATATATTTTCAATTTGATATCATATAAAAAAAATCAGTAAATCCAATATTCTCTTCTTTCCCTTCATTTCTGAATTTGTCTATGAGACATATTAAAGTCAAGATTATAAATTTTCACCATAATCAGTCTCGTTCTTTCTTTATATTTTTCCGAAAAGACCCCGATCTAAAAGAATAATGCACTAACCCATGATGTTGAACTAAACTGTCTGCATGGGCATTATTTTTTGTGTTATCGTAAAACTCATTTAAAAAAAATAAAAAATGGCAATTTAGATCAAGAAAACGATACTCTTGTTCATAGATCCATTCTTTTTCTTTTCTCTTCATCTGTAAATTTGTTCATGAGACATATGTTAAAGTCAAGATTACAAACTTTCACATTTGATTAGATCCGGTTTTGTTTTCTCATATGAGACATATTAAAGTCAAGATTACAAATTTTCACCTTTATCAGTCCCGTTCTTTCTTTATGTTTTTCCGGAAAGACTCGGATCTATGTTGCACTGACCCGTGATGTTGCTAACCTTTGAGTTAGTTAAATTTGTGAATATTAGATTTCTAAGATTAGATATTGTTTTGACATTTTTTTATTAAAGCGAAATAAACCGTCTCCATCGGCATTATTTTTTGTGTTAGTGTAAAACTCATTTAAAAAAATGGTAATTTAGGTCAAGAAAATGATACTCTTATTCATAGATCTATTCTTTCTTTTTTTTATTCTTCATTTGTAAATTTGTTCATGAGACATGTTAAAGTCAATATTACAAACTTTCAATTTGATTAGATCCATTTTTTCCTCATATGAGACATATTAAAGTCAAATTACAAATTTTCACCTTTATCAGTCCCATTCTTTCTTTATATTTTTTTCCGAAAAGACTGGATCTAAAAGAATGTTGCACTGACCCGTGATGTTGCTAACCTTTGAGTTAGTTAAATTTGTGAATATTAGATTTCTAAGATTGGATATTGTTTTGACATTTTTTTATTAAAGAGAACTAAACCGTCTCCATCGGCATTATTTTTTTGTTAGTGTAAACTCATTTAAAAAAGAAAAAAATGGCAATTTAGGTCAAGAAAACGATCCTATTTTTTTTCTCCAAAAAAAAAACAATATGGATATAAAAACTGGTGAAACAGAGTTTACATAGTACACATCAGTAGGTAGATCTCGAGCACTCCGTGCTATCTTGTCTGCCTTCGTGTTCTCCGTCCTTGGTATTTTCATGATGATGAAGGAAATGAACCTTTCCTTGCACCTGTCAACCTCGTCCAGTAGTAATGAGAACGCCGGTCACTCCTCTGGTTTAGACACCATCTTCACCACATCGGAGCAATCCGTCTGAAACACCATCCTTAATTTTCCGGTCCTTAACATGCATTGCATAGCCCATATGAGAGCTTCCAGTTCTGCCTGAAGAGGCGATATGCCCCTCCTCAGATTGCATCCTCCCATAAGCTTTCCAGGGGTATTCGTGTTAAAATAGTACCATCCTAGACCAGCTCTATTCTCTGATTCTTTCCAGGCCCCATCCACCTGACATATATCGCCCAACACAGGTAATTTTACTTGGGTTTCGGTGTGGGAAGGTGCCATCTCCAGTCGTTCCTGGGCCTTTGTCCATGCGCAGTCTCTGCTTCTGCTTTAACTATTATTTCATTCGGATCCCAATCCACATTAGACATAATTTTGTCATTACGGGCTTTCCAAATATACCAAATCAACCAAGGAAACATCCTCATCCTATCATCATTTGGCAAGTGCCAAATAAATGTGTCATATTTGTAAATAATCCTCCTAGTTGGAAAATGGGCTGGTGCTGTTGGAATTGGCGATAATGCCCAAACTTGTAGTGCTGGCGGGCACTCAAATAACATGTGATTTACAGTTTCTGGGCCATCCCACACCACATACACTGAGGATCAATCTGCATACTCCGACTCCGTAATCTTTCACCAACTGCTATACATTCCGTCAGTGTTTGCCAAAGAAAGTGTTGCAATTTCTGTGTACATTGTGTTTTCCACACCTGTACCTGAAGCCGCCGTGTATCCGGTCCAAAAAAGACAGGGTTTGCATCCTCGGAGGCTTGTTGTGCAACCATATATCCCGATTTAACCGTATATCGTCCCGACTTCGTGAAAAACCATCCCACAGAGTATGGTCGGGTAGCATGTGAAGTTGGGATCCCCATAATCAGTGGGACATCCATACTGTCTACTAGCTGGTTTAATAGTGGAAGATTCCACGTTGATGTGCTGGAATTTATTAATTCGCTCACTGCTGATAGGATTTGTGTGTGGATGAAAGATATGAAATGAGATGTGGTGGAATGCAACAGTGGTATATGATGAGGTGGTAAGATGCAAACACAAACACAGTCAACAATTCCCTTTAACCATGATAGTTGTTATAGCATAAAGGGTATCAATCCAAAATGGGAAAGTTGTCACTCTATGAGAATATGAAACAACAAGGAAGTCAAGCAAGCAGTAATAGATTGGTAACACTAACAACCTAAATGAAACAGAAATGCAATGCAGTAAGTAAATAAAGCAGTAAGCAACAGCTCGACCAAGGACTCGAGTCGAGTGGGAACAGAGTACCGAGCTCGATCGAGTTTAGGGTCGAGTTGAAGTAAAAAGCAATAAAGGCAGCGACTTTAACAAGGCGAGAATTAGGGTTCAAGACAGGGTTTTGCAATCAGAGGAAGCTACACTTAATCATCTTGCTCTTAAAACTCCTTGTATCAAGGTTCTCTTGATATTGGGCTTCTCAATGCCTAGCAACCCTTTCCCAAGGTGAAAGCTATCAACCAAGGAATGATCTCAGAAACAGGGGGTTAGCCAGTGAGAATCAAGCCTTGGAGGCCATAGGATCATTGCCAAACTAATCCATCCAACCCCTTAGACCTCCATTTCGAGAGCAAGAGATATTGGAGCTCTTAGTGGACTTTTCCAGCGATTTCCATCACTTCCATGTGGAGAATCGCCTAAGGACATACAAGCCAGGGGTAGTGGTCATGTAGCCTTAAGATTTCCAAAAGAGAGAGAATCTAGATTAAGACCATAAGCAAGAAGGATTAAGCATAAAACCTCTAATCTATCCCATCTCAAACCCTAATGGGTAACTACTCACTACACATGAATGTAAACACAAGCAAATGCAATAAAAGAGACATCATAAGAAAGAGGAGATGAAATAAACAACTTTTATTGAAATAAGCAAGTGCAAATACAAAGAGATTATCCAGGATCTAGGATTCAAGAAGCAAGAGCTTCAAGAACACAAAGATGGGATTAGAGCTCTAAAAAGTAAAAGACAATAAATTAAAAGAAACTAAAACAAAAAGTAATCTAAAGCTTGGTGGTTTTTTCGTGGCTTAGCCTTTAAATACAAGAGGATTAGGTTTAGGGTCAAAGGAAAGTCAAGGGGGAAGCAACATTTTTCGGGTTTGACTTTGACTTCTCAGCTCGATCGAGTTGAAGCTTGGCCGGTCGAGTTGAGGAACTCGACCGGTTGGTCGAGTAGATGGTCGAGCTGGTCTTCAAGATGGCTTCTCCTTCTTCCTTTGCGTATCCAGTTGAGCTGCGTCCATGCCCAAGTCCTCCATGCTCCTCACGTCCCATATGCTCCAGAATGCTCCAAAAGACCTATTTCAAAGGACCAAACATGCATATGTATGCAAATGCAACCTAAAACTACTATGAATGCATAAGAAGAGAAAAGGAACAAGATATGATGCTAATGGATGCTAAAACTATGCAAAAGATGCATAAAAGATGTACTAAAACTATGTAAAATGCAAGTACATCAACACCCCCAAACTTGAACTTTGCTTGCCCTCAAGCAAACAAATAGAACAAGAAAGAGATGAGGTTTGAAAACAAGCTGATTCAACACTTAAAAACATGTCCTCAAAAGCGATTTGCTAAATGTCCAACTTAGAGATTCTAGAATGCAACAAGGTGAGAGATATTCATTAAGATTTAACCATGCTTATCAACATCAATCCCACTTCACAGTCACTCAAACAATGCATTCAAATCAGCAAATCCCTTTAACATTCATTAAGCAAAAACAGTGAACCAAAAACATGCAAGATCAATCAACTCATTTGGTTTCAAGGGTTTATGGGTTAAGAGACAAAGAGGGTCTCTTTTGTATGGTGGTTTAGTAACAGGGATCTCTCAAGAAAGTGGCTTTGCTTTGGCAGAAGGCTAAGTGTTAGAACCAAAGATGATGCAAGAACAGCAGCTCGAGCCGCCTAATCCTAACTCGATCGAGTTCAACACTTAGAGCTTTTTAGAACAAAATCCTAACTACCCTTTTTGGCATTTCGCCTTTGAAACTGAGGAGCTTTGCTCACTTTTCTTTTAAGAACTTCCTAGGGAGAGGCTTCTTGAGGTAACATCTAGCGGTTTGGGATTTTCTAAACACTTAGGGAACTTTTCTTTCCTTTTTGACACTTGAGGCTTTGCCTTCTTTTCATTCTACTTAGAACCCTTTTTACTTCCTTTTTTAACTTCCCAAACCTTTACTAGACCCTTTTTAACACTGCCAACTCCCTGGACTTAACTAAACTCTTTTTCCTTTGGGTTTTTCCCAACTTTTACCACTTTTCTGGTTTTTACACCCAACTCGATCGAGCTCGAGTTGGCACCCCCAAACTTAGCCTGAAAACAATCCCAAGAGAACTAGACAACTAGAACTACTGCCCCTGCCGGTTTAAACACAACACCTTATGCTAAGCAAAGCCAAGAAAGGTTCTCACAATCGCACAAGAGATAATAAGGGGTTTGAAATGAAAAGGCTTAGGTTTAAGGTGTGGTAACTGTCTCAAAGATGAGATCAGCTATCTGGACAAGCAAAGGGATATGAAAATAGGTAAAGAATGTCCAGATATGTATGTGGTAGCCATGAGTTGAAATCAAATGCAAGCATTGGTAATTAAAGATCAAGTTATGGTTCAAATAGATAGGGAAATGCATCAAATCACAGCAATGGTTGAATGAGATGTGCATGCAGTGATATGATCAAGATAAACATGGTTCTTGCTGCTCAATCAATCTCACCCTAATGCACAAAAGAATCTAAAAACAGGGCACTCAAGAAATCGCAAAAGATGACAAGTTTTCAAAGTCAAATCAACAATGCAAGTGAAAATGCAATCCTAAACAAGTCTAACAAATATGAATGCAAAAAGATGAAAATATTTTTGGATTTTTTGAAAATTTTATGATTTTTTTGGTTTTTCTATGCAAAAGATGAATGAAAAACTAAGAACAAAGAAAACAAGGTTAAATCATCTCTTGAACCCTCCCCCAAACTTAAATCACACAGTCCCTTGTGTGAGAGAAATTTAGTGAAAGATTCAAGAGGGCAAAACCAAGAAAAAAAACAAATGCAAGAAAATATGAAATGGTATATACAAGGGTTGGTGTTTGGATACCTCAGTGCCCCCAAAGAACTGGGAGGCAAGGTCGTGGTCTGGAGAGGGAGACGGCCATCAGGGACGCTCCACTCGACTGGGTTCCGTGCGCTCGATCGAGCTTGCTCTTGACTCGATCGAGTTGTGCCTCGAGTTGGCCTTTCTTCCTAAAACCTGTTCCTGCAAGACTTAGCCAAGAAAAACAGAGATAAAAGATAAAGAAAATGTACAAGATAGACATGGGAATTCCTCCCAAGTGAGCTTGTTTTAGGTCTCATAGCTTGACCTTACCCCTTTAGGCCGGGGTTGGATCTTCTAGAGGAGTGATGATCTCCTCTGTGGGGGTCATTCCTAGGTATGGCTTGCATCTATGCCCATTTACTGTGAATTCTTTCCCTTCTTGGTTGAGCAGAGTGAGTGACCCGTGATGTACTTGCATTTTACATGGTTTTAGCCCTTCTTTTATGCATCTTTTGCATAGTTTCATTCACCCAAAGCATCATTTCTTGATGTTTTCCCTTCTTTTGCATACATAGTAGTTTTAGGCTTGCATTTGCATACATGTGCACGTTTGATGTCTTAATCAGGTCATTTGGAGCCAATTGGAACATTGCCTATCACTGGAGACTAGTTGAGGAAGGAAAGACTCTGTCTGCCCCATGTACGGACNAAGAATGTCCAGATATGTATGTGGTAGCCATGAGTTGAAATCAAATGCAAGCATTGGTAATTAAAGATCAAGTTATGGTTCAAATAGATAGGGAAATGCATCAAATCACAGCAATGGTTGAATGAGATGTGCATGCAGTGATATGATCAAGATAAACATGGTTCTTGCTGCTCAATCAATCTCACCCTAATGCACAAGAGAATCTAAAAACAGGGCACTCAAGAAATCGCAAATGATGAACAAGTTTTCAAAGTCAAATCAACAATGCAAGTGAAAGATGCAATCCTAAACAATACTAAGAAATATGAATGCAAAAAGATGAAAATATTTTTGGATTTTTTGAAAATTTTATGATTTTTTTGGTTTTTCTATGCAAAAGAGAATGAAAAACTAAGAACAAAGAAAACAAGGTTAAATCATCTCTTGAACCCTCCCCCAAACTTAAATCACACAGTCCCTTGTGTGAGAGAAATTTAGTGAAAGATTCAAGAGGGCAAAACCAAGAAAAAAAACAAATGCAAGAAAATATGAAATGGTATGTACAAGGGTTGGTGTTTGATACCTCAGTGCCCCCCAAAGAACTGGGAGGCAAGGTCGTGGTCTGGAGAGGGCAGACGGCCGTCAGGGACGCTCCACTCGACGGGTTCCGTCGCTCGATCGAGCTTGCTCTTGGCTCGATCGAGTTGTCCTCGAGTTGGTCCTTTCCTTCCTAAAACCTGTTCCTGCAAGACTTAGCTGAGAAAAACGCAGAGATAAAAGATAAAGAAATATGTACAAGATAGACATGGGAATTCCTCCCAAGTGAGCTTGTTTTAGGTCTCATAGCTTGACCTTACCCCTTTTAGGCCGGGGTTGGATCTTTAGAGGAGTGATGATCTCCTCTGTGGGGGTCATTCCTAGATATGGCTTGCATCTATGCCCATTTACTGTGAATTCTTTCCCCCCCACTTTACACATTAGTTGGTGATGTACTTGCATTTTACATGGTTTTAGCCCTTCTTTTATGCATCTTTTGCATAGTTTCATTCACCCAAAGCATCATTTCTTGATGTTTTCCCTTCTTTTGCATACATAGTAGTTTTAGGCTTGCATTTGCATACATGTGCACGTTTGATGTCTTAATCAGGTCATTTGGAGCCAATTGGAACATTGCCTATCACTGGAGACTAGTTGAGGAAGGAAAGACTCTGTCTGCCCCATGTACGGACCCGCACTCGGTCGAGCTAGTGAGATGCGTCCGAAGTATCGTATCAAATGAAGGGTTTCCACTACGATTCAGTGCCTCTGACTTCTTCTTGGAAGTTGTGGATAATTGAGTTAGCTTTCGTCTGGAGGTGGTTTCATGTCATTCGGACCAGCGGTTCAGAAGATACGACGATATTGGTTGGACTCGACCCACCAGCTCGACCGGCCAGTTTCCAACTCGATCGAGCTGCTTTTCCAGGAGTCAAAGTCAAACCCGAAAAATGTTGCTTCCCTTTGACTCCCCTTTGACCCTAAACCTAGTTTGCTTTACTATAAATGGCATTGAGCCACGAATTAAACATAGCTTTTGCTCAACTTTTATTAATCTTGTATTTGCATTTCCCTTTTTACTTTTTAGCCTCTCTTTGTGTTCTTGAGCTCTTGCTCATGAACCTAGATCTAGGCTTGTTATTTGTTTTTGCACTTTGCTATTTCAATAAAAGTTGTTTATCTTTATCTCCTCTATCTTTTGATGTCTCTTTATTGCATTTGGTTGTTTATTTCATCATGTGTAGTGAGTAGTTCCTTTAGGGTTTAAGATGGGATAGGTTAGAGGTTGTTTATGCTTAATCTCTCTTGCTTATGTTCTTAATCTAGAAATCTCTCTCTTTTGGACAAACCTTAAGGCTACATGACCACTATCCCTGGCTTGTATGTCCATAGGCGATTCTCCACATGGAAGTGATGGAAATCGTTGGAAAAGGTCCACTAAGAGCTCCAATAACTCTTGCTCTCGAAATGGAGTTCATAGGGGTTGGATGGATTAGTTTGAGCAATGATCCTATGGCCTCCAAGGCTTGATTCTCACTGGCTAACCCCCTGTTTCTGAGATCAAGTCTTGGTTGATAGCTTTCACCTTGGGAAAGGGTTAGCTAGGCATTGAGAAGCTCAATATCAAGAGATAGCTTGATACAAGTTGTTTAAGAGCAAGACTGATTAAGTATAGCCTCCCTTTAGCTGCAAAACCCTGTCTTTAACCCTAATCTTCGCATTAGCATCTTAAAGTTTGCACCTTTATTGCTTTTCATTCGCTTTCCTCTGTTTTTACACCAACTCGACCCTCAACTCGATCGAGCTCTTGGTCGAGCTGCTTTTATTTACTGCTTTTGCTTGCATTTCATTTCATATTAGGTTGTTTAGTTGTTACATCCCTCCATTTAATCATTTGGCTTGACTTTCTTGTGTTTGCATATTCTCATAGAGCAACATCTCACCCTTATGGATTGATAACCTCTTATACTTCAATGACTATGATGGTTAAGAGGAATTGATTGATTGTGATTGCACCATACCATCTCATCATCATTTACCACTGTTGCATTCCACCACATCTCATTTCATATCTATCACATCACATACAAATCCTATCATCAATTTGGCGCCGTTGCCATTTGGGTTTGTTACTGTTGCATTTGAGTTTCCAAATCACTTGAACGATCAAGTACTATCCCACCTTTGTTGCTTGTACTGCTGGGTTTTTGACTGTTTTGCAGGTGTATGTGAACTCGATCGAGCTCATCAACAGAGAACTTGGTCGAGTTAGACATCAACATAGGCAGAAAACAGAGAAAGAAGAGCCAGAGGCAACAAGTTCAGTCAGAGGTGCTTGTTACAGATACTATGGATATACCAGAGGGTAATGGAAACCCTCTGGGTAATGGAAATGGTCGAGCTAGGCAGACTCGACCGATTGGGCTTGGAGATGCACCAAACCGCCACCAGCAAAGAAGAGGGATTGTCCCACCTCCTGTCCAGAACCACAATTTCGAGATCAAGCTGGGGATGATTACCTTAGTCCAGAACAAGATGTTCCATGGATTGTCTTGTGAAGATCCCATTGATCACTTGGATGAGTTTGATAGGCTGTGTGATCTGACCAAGATGAATGGTGTCTCTGAAGATGCCATCAAGCTGAGACTCTTCCCTATGTCTCTTGGTGACAAGGCCCATCAATGGGAGAAGAGTTTACCCCATGGATCAATCACTACATGGGAGGATTGCAAGAAGGCATTTCTTGCCAAGTTCTTCTCTACTGGTCGCACTGCTAAGCTGAGAAGCGAGATATCTGGTTTCACTCAAAGGAACAATGAGACATTTGCTGAAGCTTGGGAGAGATTCAAGGGTTACACCAGTCAATGCCCTCATCATGGCTTCAGCAATGAGTCTTTGCTTTCCACACTTTACAGAGGAGTTTTGCCAAGATACAAAGAGATGTTGGACACAGCCAGTAATGGAAACTTCCTCAATCAAGATGTAGATGATGGCTGGCAGCTTGTGGAGAACATTGCTAACTCAAGTGGGAGCTATGGAGAGGAGTATGATCGCACAAACAGGAGCTCGACCTCCAACTCGATCGAGTCTGATAGTAAGCTGAGAAACGATGTCAAGGCACTCAATGAGAAGTTGGATACGCTTATCTTAGCTCAATCCACAATGAAGAAGGCCAACTTTGTTTCTAAAGAAGAGATGGTTCAAGGCCAAGAAGAGGAGGAGAATCAGTTTGCTGAAGTGTGCTACACTAAGAATGGACAAGGAGGTTATCAAAACGGTTACTATGGCTACAAGTCACACCCTACCATGTCCTACAGTAACACTGATGTTGCCAATCCTCAAGATCAAGTCTACCCTCCGCAGCAACAGGCTCCAGCGAGTCAGCCTCCACAGCAAGGATATGGTCAGAAAGGGAATTTCCAGGGCCATCAGGGAAATTATCAAGGACAACAGCAGAGTGTACCAACTGGGTATGCACCTCAAGCGCCTCAGGCTTCACCAAGTCAGGAACAAGAAATAAAAGCCATGTTGAAGCAGCTCTTACAAGGTCAAGCAGATGGTGCTATGGAGATAAGCAAGAAGTTGGCTGAGATGAACTCTAAGATTGAATCCTTGAACACTAGAGTTCACTCTTTGGAACACCATGCTTCTTCTTCTGCTGCTAAGCAAGGTCAATTTCCTGGAAAGGCTGTTCAGAATCCAAAGGAGCATTGTAGAGCGATCTTCACTCAAGAGGAAGGATTTGATCAACAAGCTGCTAATGAGAAGGATATTGAGGAGATCTGTATGCTGCTTAATAATGAAGACAATGTTGTTGCTGATGCTCCTGGAGTCCAGTACGCTCAACCTGAAGTGCAAGCTCCTCAGATAGCTATCCACGCTTCACCGGTTGAGCTCGCACAACAAGCTCGATTGGCAGCTCGATCGAGCCAGACCGTCTCACCAGCTCGATCGAGTCAGATGCTTTATGCTCCAACACCATCTGATGATGACACCTACAAGCCCCCTGTTCCATTTCCAAGTAGAATCCTTACCAAGAATCAGAAAAAAGTCATCACCAAGTTTAGGAATGACATGAGTAAGATTGGGGTTGAGCTACCAAATATGGGAAGTTTTCAAGCTGCTCATGTCCAAAAGAAGATGATTAAGGACATACTTGATAACAAGGACGAAGTAGCTCAGCTTTTGGAGCCCTCTTCTTCCCAGGGTGATCTCTTATCCACACCAACCTCACTACCCAAGCTGAATGGTCAGGGAAGCTTCACTCTGCCTTGTACACTTGGTCACCTACAACTTGAGGATGCACTTGTTGATTCTGGAGCAAGTATCAATCTGATCTCTCTTGTTCTAATACAGAAATTGGGTATACAGAGTCTGATCCAGCGACCTAAGTCTTCTATCATGTTTGGGGATGCTTCTTCTAAAGCCCCACTTGGTATTGTCATGGATTTCCCTTTGAGAATTGGAGAGTGCACAATCCCAATTGATCTAACAGTTCTGGATATGGTTGACGAGAAGGATGTGCCATTGATCTTAGGGACACCTTTCCTCACCACTGTTGGTGCCTCCATTGATTTCCATACAAAGAAAGTGATCCTGCACAATGTCAACAGCAAAGTCTCTTACCCTCTCAAGGCATCAAGCTCTAAATATTGTGGAACCATTGCCACTAAGTCACTGAGCATCAAGGGTGATGAGTTTGCTGAGGTTGAAAAGATGGAGATAATGACTGAGAGCAGCACAGAGCCAGTTATTTGTGAACCTTGTGTTCTGGATGAGATGGGTCTTGCAGTTTTGTTTAGTGAGCAGCTAGGAAGTGCTCAAAAAGATGGGGAGGGTATGGCTTTGAAGGCGTCTCCTGGACATAAAAGAAAGATGATCACGCCTCAGACTCTCTCAAGCGCTCCATCCCAGCTTACCCTGACTCTGTTGCCATCCAAGTTCACAAATGGGAAGATTGAGTACAAGATCAAGTGCAAGAGAAAGTCTAAACCGTTTTCCAGTATCAATGCCTTGGTCAGTCCTGAGCTGCAAAAAGATCAAACCAAGCTCAAGGAGCTCCTATCTTCAGTCCTTACTGTCACATTTGATGGCGGGACCGCTCTCATTCATGCCTAAAAGGTAAAAGGTCAAGCTATGCGACCTAAAACAAGCTCACTTGGGAGGAATTCCCATGTCTATCTTGTATATAATACTTTCATTTAAGTTCTTTGTAGTTGTTTCTGTCTAAGGCTTGCAGGAGTTAGTTCAAAAGGGAAGCTATTCTGACTCGAGCACAGACTCGATCGAGTCCAATCTCACCACACCTATTTTGGCTTGATTGATGCCGTTATGATGCTATTGTCTCCTGCCCTCTCCAACTCATGACCTTGCTTCCCAGTTCTTTGGGGAGCACTAAGGTATCAAACGTTTATTCCCTTGTACATACCATCTCATTTTCATGCATTTTTCTTTGTTTTTCCCTCTTGAATCTTTCTTTGACTTCTTTCACACAAGGGACTGTGTGATTTAAGTTTGGGGGAGGGTTCAAGAGATGATTTAACCTTGTTTATTCTGTTCTTAGTTTTTCATATAAATCATAAAATTTTCAAAAAATCCAAAAATATTTTCATCTTTTTGCATTCATATTTGTTAGATTGTTTAGGATTGCATTTTCACTTGCATTGTTGATTTGATTTGAAAACTTGTCATCATTTGCGATTTCTTGAGTGCCCTGTTTTTAGATTCTTTTGTGCATTAGGGTGAGATTGATTGAGCAGCAAGAACCATGTTTATCTTGATCATATCACTGCATGCACATCTCATTCAACCATTGCTGTGATTTGATGCATTTCCCTATCTATTTGAACCATAACTTGATCTTTAATTACCAATGCTTGCATTTGATTTCAACTCATGGCTACCACATACATATCTGGACATTCTTTACCTATTTTCATATCCCTCTTGCTTGTCCAGATAGCTGATCTCCATCTTTGAGACAGTTACCACACCTTAAACCTAAGCCTTTTTCATTTCAAACCCCATATTATCTCTTGTGCGATTGTGAGAACCTTTCTTGGCTTTGCTTAGCATAAGGTGTTGTGTTTAAACCGGCAGGGGCAGTAGTTCTAGTTGTCTAGTTCTCTTGGGATTGTTTTCAGGCTAAGTTTGGGGGTGCCAACTCGAGCTCGATCGAGTTGGGTGTAAAAACCAGAAAAGTGGTAAAAGTTGGGAAAATCCAAAGGAAAAAGAGTTTAGTTAAGTCCAGGGAGTTGGCAGTGTTAAAAAGGGTCTAGTAAAGGTTTGGGAAGTTAAAAAAGAAAGTGAAAAGGGTTCTAAGTAGAAAGAAAAGAAGGCAAAGCCTCAAGTGTCAAAAAGTGAAGAAAAGTTCCCTAAGTGTTTAGAAATCCCAAACCGCTAGATGTTACCTCAAGAAGCCTCTCCCTAGGATGTTCTTAAAAGAAAAGTGAGCAAAGCTCCTCAGTTTCAAAGGCGAAATGCCAAAAAGGGTAGTTAGGATTTTGTTCTAAAAAGCTCTAAGTGTTGAACTCGATCGAGTTAGGATTAGGCGGCTCGAGTTGCTGTCCTTGCACCATCTTTGGTTCTAACACTTAGCCTTCTGCCAAAGCAAAGCCACTTTCTTGAGAGATCCCTGTTACTAAACCACCATACACTCAAAAGAGACCTCTTTGTCTCTTAACCCATAACACCCTTCAAACCAAATGAGTTGATTGATCTTGCATGTTTTTGGTTCACGATTTTCCTTAATGAATGTTAAAGGGATTTGCTGATTTGAATGCATTGTTTGAGTGACTGTGAAGTGGGATTGATGTTGATAAGCATGGTTAAATCTTAATGAATATCTCTCACCTTGTTGCATTCTAGAATCTCTAAGTTGGACATTTAGCAAATCGCTTTTGAGGACATGTTTTTAAGGTTGAATCAATTTGTTTTCAAACCTCATCCTTTCTTGTTCTATTTGTTTGCTTGAGGGCAAGCAAAGGTCAAGTTTGGGGGTGTTGATGTACTTGCATTTTACATGGTTTTAGCCCTTCTTTTATGCATCTTTTGCATAGTTTCATTCACCCAAAGCATCATTTCTTGATGTTTTCCCTTCTTTTGCATACATAGTAGTTTTAGGCTTGCATTTGCATACATGTGCACGTTTGATGTCTTAATCAGGTCATTTGGAGCCAATTGGAACATTGCCTATCACTGGAGACTAGTTGAGGAAGGAAAGACTCTGTCTGCCCCATGTACGGACCCGCACTCGGTCGAGCTAGTGAGATGCGTCCGAAGTATCGTATCAAATGAAGGGTTTCCACTACGATTCAGTGTCTGACTTCTTCTTGGAAGTTGTGGATAATTGAGTTAGCTTTCGTCTGGAGGTGGTTTCATGTCATTCGGACCAGCGGTTCAGAAGATACGACGATATTGGTTGGACTCGACCCACCAGCTCGACCGGCCAGTTTCCAACTCGATCGAGCTGCTTTTCCAGGAGTCAAAGTCAAACCCGAAAAATGTTGCTTCCCTTTGACTCCCCTTTGACCCTAAACCTAGTTTGCTTTACTATAAATGGCATTGAGCCACGAATTAAACATAGCTTTGCTCAACTTTTAATTAATCTTGTATTTGCATTTCCCTTTTTACTTTTTAGCCTCTCTTTGTGTTCTTGAGCTCTTGCTCATAGAACCTAGATCTAGGCTTGTTATTGTGTTTTTGCACTTTGCTATTTCAATAAAAGTTGTTTATCTTTATCTCCTCTATCTTTTGATGTCTCTTTATTGCATTTGGTTGTTTATTTCATCATGTGTAGTGAGTAGTTCCCTTTAGGGTTTAAGATGGGATAGGTTAGAGGTTGTTTATGCTTAATCTCTCTTGCTTTATGTTCTTAATCTAGAAATCTCTCTCTTTTGGACAAACCTTAAGGCTACATGACCACTATCCCTGGCTTGTATGTCCATAGGCGATTCTCCACATGGAAGTGATGGAAATCGTTGGAAAAGGTCCACTAAGAGCTCCAATAACTCTTGCTCTCGAAATGGAGTTCATAGGGGTTGGATGGATTAGTTTGAGCAATGATCCTATGGCCTCCAAGGCTTGATTCTCACTGGCTAACCCCCTGTTTCTGAGATCAAGTCTTGGTTGATAGCTTTCACCTTGGGAAAGGGTTAGCTAGGCATTGAGAAGCTCAATATCAAGAGATAGCTTGATACAAGTTGTTTAAGAGCAAGACTGATTAAGTATAGCCTCCCTTTAGCTGCAAAACCCTGTCTTTAACCCTAATCTTCGCATTAGCATCTTAAAGTTTGCACCTTTATTGCTTTTCATTCGCTTTCCTCTGTTTTTACACCAACTCGACCCTCAACTCGATCGAGCTCTTGGTCGAGCTGCTTTTATTTACTGCTTTTGCTTGCATTTCATTTCATATTAGGTTGTTTAGTTGTTACATCCCTCCATTTAATCATTTGGCTTGACTTTCTTGTGTTTGCATATTCTCATAGAGCAACATCTCACCCTTATGGATTGATAACCTCTTATACTTCAATGACTATGATGGTTAAGAGGAATTGATTGATTGTGATTGCACCATACCATCTCATCATCATTTACCACTGTTGCATTCCACCACATCTCATTTCATATCTATCACATCACATACAAATCCTATCATCAACCCGTAGGGTAGAACCTCATGTATCTTAAACGGCCCTGACCACTTTGACCTCAACTTCCCGGGGAACAACCGCAATTTGGAGTTAAACAAGAGCACATTGTCCCCAACCTTGAAGTCTTTTAGGCGAATTAGTTTGTCGTGGGCTGCCTTGGTTCTCATCTTGTAGATCATGGAGTTCTCATAGGCATTCATTCTGATTTCCTCCAACTCAAACAGGTTCATTACCCTCCTTTCTTGTGCTGCCTTTATGTCAAAGTTCAGCATCTTTACTGCCCATAAAGCCTTGTATTCGACCTCTACAGGCAAGTGGCAATCCTTCCCATATAGCAAATTGAAAGGAGACCTTCCAATGGGGGTTTTGTAAGCTGTTCTATAAGCCCAAAGTGCTTCATCAAGTCTTGTTGACCAATCTTTTCTAGTGAAGCTCACAATCTTCTCCAATATAGCTTTAATCTGTCTGTTGGAGACCTCAACTTGCCCACTGGTTTGAGGGTAATTAGGCGCCATCTAGAACTCGAAACACTATGGTATGATCTTTCCACTTTCGTGGCTCCGACCCCTTTGTTAACCTCCCTAGTCGCTAAACTTTTGGTATGTCCCTAGGTGATTAAATCAAGCATTAGTTCGAATAAGTTCAATTGTTCACAACCTACAAGTAAATCAACTTTCGCAGTCTAAAAGAGGTTGCCCACCAAATACTAGTTCAGGCGAATGATTCAACACTTTCGAGGCTCAAGTCAACCTTAGATCATATGCTAATTGGCCAGATTAACAACAAGCAGTACGTATAAGCAAAGGTGAAGATTATATGTAAAACCCTAATTCATGTGATCGATCATCAAGCAATCATGAATGCTATCCTTTGACTTCCTATCACTTAACAAGTAAACTACTCAGACATAGAGAAGGAAAACGAATTCATATTCATAAGAACAGAGATCCGAATCCTCTCTTGAAAGAGAACAAGCAAGAACAAAGTAAAAGCAAGCAAAACTTTATTAAAGATGTAAAACAATTCTTGGTCTCTCTCCTTCTTTCAGTTACAAGGCTAAAAAGATGTATTTATATTGCTCTAAGTATAGATGAGCGGCTAGACCTAGGTCTAAAAAGTCAATCGTGTAATTGGGCTTGAAACGTGTGAAACGGGCTTCAAAACGGCTTCGGGTCGACCGGACCGTTCGGACGGTCGGTCGGGACGTTCGTCGGCTATCGGGTGATGATCGGCTATCGGCACGGTCGGGTCGATCGTGGCCGAGAGATTATTCATTCGTTCGTCGGGTTCGGCGGACGGATGATATTGGTCAAGGCATTCGGCCGGTACGTGAGACGAGGCCTTCCTGATCGGACGGATGGGTCGTGCGTGTGGCACGTGTTGTGCCGCACGGTCGTGAGGCATTGCCCTCCTGCTCGCGCGGTGCGGTCGTGCGCGGCCTAAGGTCGCGGGGCTTCGGATTGGTCGACCGCAGGTTGATGCTTCCCGGGTCGGTACGTGAGCTCGGCCGTGCGTTCAGGTGGGATGCACGGTGTGTCCGGACGTTGGCCGCTCGTGGTACGGATGTTCCTCGGTCGGCCGTTCCGTACGGTCTGGACGCCAATTCTCGGTTTGAGCCGTCTGGACCAGTCTTCACTAAATCGATCATAACTCCTTTTCTACTCATCCAAATGATATGAATCCAATTGCATTGGAAAGCTAACTCACTCGGGGCCCACGGAGAAGTGGTCTTGATGAAATCCATTGAGTAGATTGTTTTTAAGCTCTTCCCAAAGTAGATTCTGTGGCATTGGGGTTTGAAGTCCAAATCCTCTGTTTTGCTCCATAATGCACCTTTTGACCTAAAATGACTCTTTGCAGTATAAATCCATAAAAACTACCTTTTAAGACAAGAATCCACTAGAAAACCATTAGAAAACCATAGTAAAATAGCATAAAAAGCATGTAAAATAGAGGTATATCAACTCCCCCAGACTTAGATCTTTGCTTGTCCCAAGCAACTCGAATCTAAACTAGTGAAGAGGTTTTGAAAATACGATAACTCACTTATCTTTTGGAACTTGTATCTCCCATTGCTCTGCTCTCTTTAGGACAAACCAACCTTTAAACTGGCTATCACGTACTGACCTTAAGCTTAGCAAACCATACCGGACCCAACAAATCTATCATTAACTCCTTCCAGTATTTAAAGCGTGCGGTCTTTATCAAGGGAGTATTGATCACAGAGCATCGATTCTTACCCATCCAAGTCTTTGCCAAGATAGTTTTTCTTGCTCATTCAGTACCAAACCTCTCTCCTTTTCTCTTATCTTTGAAGAATCGATTTTTCCCTACTTTTCTAGGGTATCATTTTTTTTTCTATCGATCTCCTTCCCTTAAGATTTCTCTTTGTGGGATATATACATGGATTGGCATTGAGCTTCCTCCTAGTGTATAAGGTATTCCATAAGACATGAAGGTGCAGAAGTATGCATTCCTCAAGCTTACTTATTTTCCTTGTGCTCTTAGAGCTTTTGATCTTTCTTTTGTAGATAAGAGAGAGAGGATGGCCTGTTTCTTTTCTAGACATATCTCAACTAAATCAAGTGAGGAGTCGACTCACATGAATCTCAAGCCCCTTGACAAAAAAAATTAAATGTTCATTAAGTTGTGGAGCTAGCTTTAGATTGTGTGAACACCTTAGAAATCTTGCCAAATCAGTAGGTCGATCCAACCTTAGAGGTTCCGTTAGGCACTGTTCGGTGTCGGATTCGCCTTAATGATCAGAAGAGCTTTGGTGTGATATGGTAAGCTTCCTAGGATAGATCATAGTTTCCTACTTATTTTGACTCAATAAAACAGAAGTTTTGAAAAAGTGGGTGAGGAAAAAACCAATTTTAAGATTAAAACAATCATGAACAAACGCGTTAGTACCAACAATCCCCCCAGACTTAACTTGCACCGTCCCGGTGAAAGAAAGTCCAATTAAGGGAGTTAAAGAGATAGTATGCGATTGTGAATGCAAAAATAAAGATGTAACCTTATTTGGTATGTGTTTTGAAGAATGTTAAAATGCAGTTGAATGATGGTGGCACAGTATGGAATGCAAGTGTGGTGAGGTGGGATGGTTGAGATGCTGATGGAATGAGATGGGATAGTGTGTTGGGCGACTCGAGAGGACATGGTCGAGCGTGGAGAGGTTCTGCTCGGCCATCAGGGTCGTGCCAACTATGAGCATTCTTCTTTGTGGTGTATTTTCTTGGGGTTGTCTCCAAGACCATAGTAGTTGCAAAGTTGCTCAAAGTTGTATAGATGCTCCTTTGCACACTCCGAAGTAAAATCATGTAAAGGGTCTCTCTCACATGCTTGACTAGTTCTTCATTCATGATCTCAGGATGAGGTTGTATGCCTCCTCATTCTTCTTCATCACGTTCCACTTCAATGTGATATGAGTAGTGGTTGTACTTAGACTTAAAAGGTGGTCTCCTTGCAAATCTCTCCAAGAATGCTTCTCTAAATTCGATCCATGACTCGATTGGGGAAAGCGGTTCGTGTGGTGCCCAGTCTAGAGCTGGTCCAGCTAAAGACATGCTGAATAGCATCATCTTCTTCTCAAAGTCAAAAATCCATAAGAATCACAAAGATCTCAAAGTGATCTATGTGCTCCAGTGCATACTCCGAAATAGATCATGGAATTGATCTCTCTTCACGAACTCGATCAGTTCAGGGTCAATCTCCTCTTCTGGTGTGGCTAGAAGGTGTTCTTCTCTGTAGATGCGGCTTGGCTAGACGTCTCCAGGTCGGCTGCTTCAAGGTAGGGAAGAAGGTTCTTCTTGGACTTCAAGGAGATAGTCTTGGAGGACTATCCCAAGTAGGTGGTGGTGCTTGAGGGCTTGACATCTTTTTCGTAGAGGTCCTTTGAGGTGGTATTGGCGAAGTGGGATCGCCTTTATAGGGTCAAGACTTGTGAATCCTTTTCCATATCTAACTAGGAAAACCTTCAAAAACAAAAAGGAAAAACGAAATCAAAAGAAAAAGGAAAAATAACAAAAACTAAAAGGAAAACAAAGGAACCCTAGACTAGCTCTCTTGCAAGAGCTTGTAGGTGCGAATTGGTCCCCGGCAACGGCGCCAAAAACTTGATCGCGGGATCAGGTCTTCCCTTTTCCTATCCCTGATTCTGCAAGTGCACAGGTCAGAAGTAGTAAACGGGTATCGAACACAAGGACCAGATTGCACACTACAAACTATGAGATTGAGATCGAGCTAGGGCAAACAGTATGAGATTGGTTGAGTGCAGTAAAAGTAAAGGCATGCAAGTAAGTAAACAAGAAAGGTTGAAATCAATAGGAGAAGGGCTAAGCAATAGGATAGTCTTAAGATAAGCAATTCAAGAAGCAAGGATCAATCAATTAGGGTTATTGCAATTAGGTGCCATCTAGAACTCGAAACACTATGGTATGATCTTTCCACTTTCGTGGCTCCGACCCCTTTGTTAATCCCTAGTCGCTAAACTTTTGGTATGTCCCTAGGTGATTAAATCAAGCATTAGTTCGATAAGTTCAATTGTTCACAACCTACAAGTAAATCAACTTTCGCAGTCTAAAAGAGGTTGCCCACCAAATACTAGTTCAGGCGAATGATACAGCACTTTCGAGGCTCAAATCAACCTTAGATCATATGCTAATTGGCCAGATTAACAACAAGCATTAAGTATAAGCAAAGATGAAGATTATAAGTAAAACCCTAATCATGTGATCGATCATCAAGCATCATGAATGCTATCCTTTGACTTCCTATCACTTAACAAGTAAACTACTCAGACATAGAGAAGGAAAACGAATTCATATTCATAAGAACAGAGATTCGAATCCTCTCTAGAAAGAGAACAAGCAAGAACAAAGTAAAAGCAAGCAAAACTTTATTAAAGATGTAAAAAATTGTGGTCTCTCTCCTTCTTGAGTTACAAGGCTAAAAAGAAGTATTTATAATGCTCTAAGTATAGATGAGCGGCTAGACCTAGGTCTAATAAGTCGGTCGTGTAATTGGGCTTGAAACGTGTGAAACAGTCGGTCGGGACATTCGGCCGGCTATCGGGTGATGATCGGCTATCGGCATGGTCGGGTCGATCGTGGCAGAGAGATTATTCGTTCGTTCATCGGGTTCGGCTGGACGGATGAAATTGGTCGAGGGATTCGGCCGGACATGGGATGAGGCCTTCCTGATCGGACGGATGGGTCGTGCGTTTGGCACGGGTTGTGCCGCACGGTCGTGAGGCGTTGCCCTCTTGCTCGCGCGGTGCGGTTGTGTGCGGCCTAAGGTTGCGGGGCTTCTAATTGGTCGACCGCGGGACAATGTTTCCCGGTTCGGTACGTGAGCTCGGCCGTGCCAGGTAGACGGGGCATGGAAGGCGATTGAGAGTCGGGCAGGATTAGGATGGTATAATTTCGATCCGGATTCGGGTTCAACTCTGGTTGGGGCCACTAATTTGAGACGGGAATTATCCCCTTTACAGACAGAATTGGAAGCTTTGGTTTGGGCCATGCAATGTATGCTGGTTCATAACAAAAGACGAATGAATTTTCAAACGGACTGCGCTGATTTGGTGAAGATGGTATCTAAATCCGAAGAGTGGCCGGCGTTCGAATTTCTACTTGAAGAGGTGGACAAGTGTAGAAGGAGTTTCGAGACATTCTCCTTGACTCATATCCCAAGAACGAAGAACACAAAGGCAGACAAGCAAGCACGACGTGCTCGAGATCAGCCTTACGATGTGTATTATGTAAACTTTGTTCCCCCGATCTCGCTTCCCGAATCGGTTTAGGAACATAGGCAGTTGACAGAAAAAAAAATAAAAAAAAAAGTATTGCACACTATATCAACCATATACTTCTAAGGTCACTTTGCTAAGAACAAGCAATTCGGGATGAGAGATTCGCAGAAATCAATTTTTTCAACATATTAATGGATAAAGTAATAAACATCATATGTTAATCAGTTAAAATCTTCTGTCAATCTAGAAAAAATACATACAAGATTAAGTAATACTAATTTAATATAAAAACAGCCAAAGTACAACTATTTGCAATGTTGGTACAACTAATACCTTGGTATAACTAAGTGTATTTTAACTGAAGGAAAAACGGCGCTAATTTTGTATGAAAGACAGCGCGACGGCGTGACGCACATGTTTCGTGTGGTGGTTCATGAAAGGAAACAAAAAAACGAAAAACTGTAACAATTATAAAAGGACCTTATTTTCTCTCTCTTCTCATTTTGCATTTTCGTTCTCTCTTCTCTTCTCCTCTCTCCCTCTCTCCTCCTTCTTCTACCTTTGAACCCTAGATCTGAGCCCGAGTCTCCGACCAGATCTGCAAATTCTCAAATTCTCTTCTTCTTCCGATTCGCTCTTCATTGTAGATCCGACTTAAGTAAGTATAACTAATTTCAATTTCAGTTTAGTAGTTGTAGCGAATCTGGGATTGATTACATGAGTTAGTTGTAGCGAATCTGGGATTGATTACATATGGGTTTTAGTTGTTGTAGCGAATCTGGGATCGATTTTCAGTCTTACTAATTTTAGTACTAATTTTAGTACTTTTCGAGATTTTCAGAGAGATGTGGGGATCACCAGACAAAGCTACAATGAAGGCAATGATGAGGGAGATGGACTACTGATCGCGTGATCAGGTCTTCCCTTTTCCTATCCTTGATTCTGCAAGTTCACATGTCAGAAGTCGTAAACGGGTATCGAACACAAGGACCAGATTGCACACTACAAACTATGAGATTGAGATCGAGCTAGGGCAAACAGTATGAGATTGGTTGAGTTCAGTAAAAGTAAAGGCATGCAAGTAAAGTAAACAAGTAAAGAAGGTTGAAATCAATAGGAGATGAGGGCTAAGCAATAGGATAATCTTAAGATAAGCAATTCAAGAAGCAAGGATTGATCGATTAGGGTTATTGTAATTAGGTGCCATCTAGAACTCGAAACACTATGGTATGATCTTTCCACTTTCGTGGCTCCGACCCCTTTGTTAACCTCCCTAGTCGCTAAACTTTTGGTATGTCCCTAGGTGATTAAATCAAGCATTAGTTCGAATAAGTTCAATTGTTCACAACCTACAAGTAAATCAACTTTCGCAGTCTAAAAGAGGTTGCCCACCAAATACTAGTTCAGGCGAATGATTCAACACTTTCGAGGCTCAAGTCAACCTTAGATCATATGCTAATTGGCCAGATTAACAACAAGCAGGACGTATAAGCAAAGGTGAAGATTATATGTAAAACTCTAATTCATGTGATCGATCATCAAGCAATCATGAATGCTATCCTTTGACTTCCCATCACTTAACAAGTAAACTACTCAGACATAGAGAAGGAAAACGAATTCATATTCATAAGAACAGAGATCCGAATCCTCTCTTGAAAGAGAACAAGCAAGAACAAAGTAAAAGCAAGCAAAACTTTATTAAAGATGTAAAACAATCTGGTCTCTCTCCTTCTTTCAGTTACAAGGCTAAAAAGATGTATTTATATTGCTCTAAGTATAGATGACCTAGGTCTAAGTCAATCGTGTATTGGGCTTGAAACGTGTGAAACGGGCTTCAAAAACGGCTTCGGGTCGACCGGACCGTTCGGAAGGTCAGTCGGGACGTTCCATCGGCTATCGGGTGATGATCGGCTATCGGCACGGTCGGGTCGATCGTGGCCGAGAGATTATTCGTTCGTTCGTCGTGGTTCGGCCGGACGGATGATATTGGTCAAGGTTCGGCCGGACGTGGGACGAGGCCTTCCTGATCGGACGGATGGGTCGTGCGTGTGGCACGTGTTGTGCCGCACGGTCATGAGGCATTGCCCTCCTGCTCGCGCGGTGCGGTCGTGCGCGGCCTAAGTTCGCGGGGCTTCGGATTGGTCGACCGCGGGTTGATGCTTCCCGGGTCGGTACGTGAGCTCGGCCGTGCGTTCAGGCGGGATGCACGGTGTGTCCGGACGTTGGCCGCTCGTGGTACGGATGTTCCTCGGTCGGCCGTTCCGTACGGTCTGGACGCCAATTCTCGGTTTGAGCCGTCTGGACCAGTCTTCACTAAATCGATCATAACTCCTTTTCTACTCATCCAAATGATATGAATCCAATTGCATTGGAAAGCTAGCTCACTTGGGGCACACGGCGAAGTGGTCTTGATTAAGTCCATTGAGTAGATTGTTTTTAAGCTCTTCCCAAAGTAGATGTTTGGCATTGGGGTTGAAGTCCAAATCCTCTGTTTTGCTCCATAATGCACCTTTTGACCTAAAATGACTCTTTTCAGTATAAATCCATAAAAACTACCTTTTAAGACAAGAATCCACTAGAAAACCATTAGAAAACCATAGTAAAATAGCATAAAAAGCATGTAAAATAGAGGTATATCAACTCCCCCAGACTTAGATCTTTGCTTGTCCCCAAGCAAATCGAATCTAAACTAGTGAAGAGGTTTTGAAAACACGAAAACTCACTTATCTTTTGGAACTTGTATCTCCCATTGCTCTGCTCTCTTTGGACAAACCAACTTTGAAACTGGCTATCACGTACTGACCTTAAGCTTAGCGAACCATACCGGACCCAACAAATCTCATCCAGTATTAACTCCTTGCAGTATTTAAAGCGTGCGGTCTTTATCAAGGGAGTATTGATCACAGAGCATTGATTCTTACCCATCCAAGTCTTTGCCAAGATAGTCTTTCTTGCTCATTCAGTACCAAACCTCTCTCCTTTCTCTTATCTTTGAAGAATCGATTTTTCCCTACTTTTCTAGGGTATCATTTTTTTTTCTATCGATCGATCTCCTTCCCTTAAGATTTCTCTTTGTGGGATACATGGATTGGCATTGAGCTTCCTCCTGTGTATAAGGTATTCCATAAGACATGAAGGTGCAGAAGTATGCATTCCTCATGCTTACTTGTTTTCCTTGTGCTCTTAGAGCTTTTGATCTTTCTTTTGCAGATAAAGAGAGAGGATGGCCTGTTTCTTTTCTAGACATATCTCAACTAAATCAAGTGAGGAGTCGACTCACATGAATCTCAAGCCCCTTGACAAAAAAAATTAAAGGTTCATTAAGTTGTGGAGCTAGCTTTAGATTGTGTGAACACCTTAGAAATCTTGCCAAATCAGTAGGTCGATCCACCCTTAGAGGTTCCGTTAGGCACTGTTCGGTGTCGGATTCGCCTTAATGATCACAAGAGCTTTGGTGTGATATGGTAAGCTTCCTAGGATAGATCATAGTTTCCTACTTATTTTGACTCAATAAAACAGAAGTTTTGAAAAAGTGGGTGAAGAAAAAACCAATTTTAAGATAAAACAATCATGAACAAACGCATTAGTACCAACAATCCCCCCAGACTTAACTTGCACCGTCCCGGTGAAAGAAATCCAATTAAGGGAGTTAAAGAAAGAGATAGTATGCGATTGTGAATGCAAAAATAAAGATGTAACCTGATTTGGTATGTGTTTTGAAGAATGTTAAAATGCAGTTGAATGATGGTGGCACAGTATGGAATGCAAGTGTGGTGAGGTGGGATGGTTGAGATGCAGATGGAATGAGATGGGATAGTGTATTGGGCGACTCGAGAGGACATGGTCGAGCGTGGAGAGGTTCTTCTCGGCCATCAGGGTCGTGCCAACTATGAGCATTCTTCTTTGTGGTGTATCTTCTTGGGGTTGTCTCCAAGACCATAGTAGTTGCAAAGTTGCTCAAAGTTGTATAGATGCTCCTTTGCACACTCCGAAGTAAATCATGTAAAGGGTCTCTCTCCACATGCTTGATTAGTTCTTCATTCATGATCTCAGGATGAGGTTGTATGCCTCCCCATTCTTCTTCATCACGCTCCACTTCATGTGATATGAGTAGTGGTTGTACTTAGACTTGAAAGGTGGTCTCCTTGCAAATCTCTTCAAGAATGCTTCTCTAAAATCGATCCATGACTCGATTGGAAAGCGGTTCGTGTTGTGCCCAGTCTAGAGCTGGTCCAGCTAAAGACATGCTGAATAGCATCATCTTCTTCTCAAAGTCAAAAACTCCATAAGAATCACAAAGATTCTCAAAGTGATCTATGTGCTCCAGTGCATACTCCGAATATAGATCATGGAATTGATCTCTCTTCACGAACTCGATCAGTTCAGGGTCAATCTCCTCTTCTGGTGTGGCTAGAAGGTGTTCTTCTCTGTAAGATGCGGCTTGGCTAGACGTCTCCAGGTCGGCTGCTTCAAGGTAGGGAAGAAGGTTCTTCTTGGACTTCAAGGGAGATAGTCTTGGAGGACTATCCCAAGTAGGTGGTGGTGCTTGAGGGCTTGACATCTCTTGTTCGTCCAAGAGGACTCTTTGAGGTGGTATATGGCGAAGTGGGATCGCCTTTATAGGGTCAAGGACTTGTGAATCCTTTTCCATATCTAACTAGGAAAACCTGAAAAAGTTCAAAAACAAAAAGGAAAAACGAATCAAAAGAAAAAGGAAAAATAACAAAAACTAAAAGGAAAACAAAGGAACCCTAGACTAGCTCTCTTGCAAGAGCTTGTAGGTGCGAATTGGTCCCCGGCAACGGCGCCAAAAACTTGATCGCGGGATCAGGTCTTCCCTTTTCCTATCCCTGATTCTGCAAGTGCACAGGTCAGAAGTAGTAAACGGGTATCGAACACAAGGACCAGATTGCACACTACAAACTATGAGATTGAGATCGAGCTAGGGCAAACAAGTATGAGATTGGTTGAGTGCAGTAAAAGTAAAGGCATGCAAGTAAAGTAAACAAGTAAAGAAGGTTGAAATCAATAGGAGATGAGGGCTAAGCAATAGGATAGTCTTAAGATAAGCAATTCAAGAAGCAAGGATCAATCAATTAGGGTTATTGCAATTAGGTGCCATCTAGAACTCGAAACACTATGGTATGATCTTTCCACTTTCGTGGCTCCGACCCCTTTGTTAATCTCCCTAGTCGCTAAACTTTTGGTATGTCCCTAGGTGATTAAATCAAGCATTAGTTCGATTAAGTTCAATTGTTCACAACCTACAAGTAAATCAACTTTCGCAGTCTAAAAGAGGTTGCCCACCAAATACTAGTTCAGGCGAATGATACAGCACTTTCGAGGCTCAAGTCAACCTTAGATCATATGCTAATTGGCCAGATTAACAACAAGCATTAAGTATAAGCAAAGATGAAGATTATAAGTAAAACCCTAATTCATGTGATCGATCATCAAGCATACATGAATGCTATCCTTTGACTTCCTATCACTTAACAAGTAAACTACTCAGACATAGAGAAGGAAAACGAATTCATATTCATAAGAACAGAGATCGAATCCTCTCTTGAAAGAGAACAAGCAAGAACAAAGTAAAAGCAAGCAAAACTTTATTAAAGATGTAAAAAATTGTGGTCTCTCTCCTTCTTGAGTTACAAGGCTAAAAAGAAGTATTTATAATGCTCTAAGTATAGATGAGCGGCTAGACCTATCTAAAGTCAATCGTGTAATTGGGCTTGAAACGTGTGAAAGGGCTTCAAAACGGCTTCGGGTCGACCGGACCGTTCGGACGGTCGGTCGGGACGTTCGTCGGCTATCGGGTGATGATCGGCTATCGGCACGGTCGGGTCGATCGTGGCCGAGAGATTTTCATTCGTTCGTCGGGTTCGGCGGACGGATGATATTGGTCAAGGCATTCGGCCGTACGTGAGACGAGGCCTTCCTGATCGGACGGATGGGTCGTGCGTGTGGCACGTGTTGTGCCGCACGGTCGTGAGGCATTGCCCTCCTGCTCGCGCGGTGCGGTCGTGCGCGGCTAAGGTCGCGGGGCTTCGGATTGGTCGACCGCAGGTTGATGCTTCCCGGGTCGGTACGTGAGCTCGGCGTGCGTTCAGGTGGGATGACGGATGTGTCCGGACGTTGGCCGCTCGTGGTACGGATGTTCCTCGGTCGGCCGTTCCGTACGGTCTGGACGCCAATTCTCGGTTTGAGCCGTCTGGACCAGTCTTCACTAAATCGATCATAACTCCTTTTCTACTCATCCAAATGATATGAATCCAATTGCATTGGAAAGCTAACTCGCTCGGGGCCCACGGAGAAGTGGTCTTGATGAAATCCATTGAGTAGATTGTTTTTAAGCTCTTCCCAAAGTAGATCTGTGGCATTGGGGTTTGAAGTCCAAATCCTCTGTTTTGCTCCATAATGCACCTTTTGACCTAAAATGACTCTTTGCAGTATAAATCCATAAAAACTACCTTTTAAGACAAGAATCCACTAGAAAACCATTAGAAAACCATAGTAAAATAGCATAAAAAGCATGTAAAATAGAGGTATATCAACTCCCCCAGACTTAGATCTTTGCTTGTCCCAAGCAACTCGAATCTAAACTAGTGAAGAGGTTTTGAAAATACGATAACTCACTTATCTTTTGGAACTTGTATCTCCCATTGCTCTGCTCTCTTTAGGACAAACCAACCTTGAAACTGGCTATCACGTACTGACCTTAAGCTTAGCAAACCATACCGGACCCAACAAATCTATCATTAACTCCTTGCAGTATTTAAAGCGTGCGGTCTTTATCAAGGGAGTATTGATCACAGAGCATTGATTCTTACCCATCCAAGTCTTTGCCAAGATAGTTTTTCTTGCTCATTCAGTACCAAACCTCTCTCCTTTTCTCTTATCTTTGAAGAATCGATTTTTCCCTACTTTTCTAGGGTATCATTTTTTTTTCTATCGATCTCCTTCCCTTAAGATTTCTCTTTGTGGGATATATACATGGATTGGCATTGAGCTTCCTCCTAGTGTATAAGGTATTCCATAAGACATGAAGGTGCAGAAGTATGCATTCCTCATGCTTACTTATTTTCCTTGTGCTCTTAGAGCTTTTGATCTTTCTTTTGTAGATAAGAGAGAGAGGATGGCCTGTTTCTTTTCTAGACATATCTCAACTAAATCAAGTGAGGAGTCGACTCACATGAATCTTAAGCCCCTTGACAAAAAAAATTAAAGGTTCATTAAGTTGTGGAGCTAGCTTTAGATTGTGTGAACACCTTAGATATCTTGCCAAATCAGTAGGTCGATCCACCTTAGAGTTCCATTAGGCACTGTTCGGTGTCGGATTCGCCTTAATGATCAGAAGAGCTTTGGTGTGATATGGTAAGCTTCCTAGGATAGATCATAGTTTCCTACTTATTTTGACTCAATAAAACTGAAGTTTTGAAAAAGTGGGTGAGGAAAAAACCAATTTTAAGATAAACAATCATGAACAAACGCATTAGTACCAACAATCCCCCCAGACTTAACTTGCACCGTCCCGGTGAAAGAAAGTCCAATTAAGGGAGTTAAAGAGATAGTATGCGATTGTGAATGCAAAAATAAAGATGTAACCTTATTTGGTATGTGTTTTGAAGAATGTTAAAATGCAGTTGAATGATGGTGGCACAGTATGGAATGCAAGTGTGGTGAGGTGGGATGGTTGAGATGCTGATGGAATGAGATGGGATAGTGTGTTGGGCGACTCGAGAGGACATGGTCGAGCGTGGAGAGGTTCTGCTCGGCCATCAGGGTCGTGCCAACTATGAGCATTCTTCTTTGTGGTGTATTTTCTTGGGGTTGTCTCCAAGACCATAGTAGTTGCAAAGTTGCTCAAAGTTGTATAGATGCTCCTTTGCACACTCCGAAGTAAAATCATGTAAAGGATCTCTCTCCACATGCTTGACTAGTTCTTCATTCATGATCTCAGGATGAGGTTGTATGCCTCCCCATTCTTCTTCATCACGTTCCACTTCAATGTGATATGAGTAGTGGTTGTACTTGGACTTGAAAGGTGGTCTCCTTGCAAATCTCTCCAAGAATGCTTCTCTAAAATTCGATCCATGACTCGATTGGGGAAAGCGGTTCGTGTGTGCCCAGTCTAGAGCTGGTCCAGCTAGACATGCTAAATAGCATCATCGTCTTCTCAAAGTTGAAGAACTCCATAAGAATCACAAAGATTCTCAAAGTGATCTATGTGCTCCAGTGCATACTCCGAATATAGATCATGGAATTGATCTCTCTTCACGAACTCGATCAGTTCAGGGTCAATCTCCTCTTCTGGTGTGGCTAGAAGGTGTTCTTCTCTGTAGGATGCGGCTTGGCTAGACGTCTCCAGGTCGGCTGCTTCAAGGTAGGGAAGAAGGTTCTTCTTGGACTTCAAGGGAGATAGTCTTGGAGGACTATCCCAAGTAGGTGGTGGTGCGCGAGGGCTTGACATCTCTTGTTCGTAGAGGACTCCTTTGAGGTGGTATGTGGCGAAGTGGGATCGCCTTTATAGGGTCAAGACTTGTAAATCCTTTTCCATATCTAACTAGGAAAACCTAAAAAGTTCAAAAACAAAAAGGAAAAACGAGATCAAAGAAAAAGGAAAAATAACAAAAACTAAAAGGAAAACAAAGGAACCCTAGACTAGCTCTCTTGCAAGAGCTTGTAGGTGCGAATTGGTCCCCGGCAACGGCGCCAAAAACTTGATCGCGGGATCAGGTCTTCCCTTTTCCTATCCCTGATTCTGCAAGTGCACAGGTCAGAAGTAGTAAACGGGTATCGAACACAAGGACCAGATTGCACACTACAAACTATGAGACTGAGATCGAGCTAGGGCAAACAAGTATGAGATTGGTTGAGTGCAGTAAAAGTAAAGGCATGCAAGTAAAGTAAACAAGTAAAGAAGGTTGAAATCAATAGGAGATGAGGGCTAAGCAATAGGATAGTCTTAAGATAAGCAATTCAAGAAGCAAGGATCGATCAATTAGGGTTATTGTAATTAGGTGCCATCTAGAACTCGAAACACTATGGTATGATCTTTCCACTTTCGTGGCTCCGACCCCTTTGTTAACCTCCCTAGTCGCTAAACTTTTGGTATGTCCTAGGTGATTAAATCAAGCATTAGTTCGAATAAGTTCAATTGTTCACAACCTACAAGTAAATCAACTTTCGCAGTCTAAGAGAGGTTGCCCACCAAATACTAGTTCAGGCGAATGATTACAGCACTTTCGAGGCTCAAGTCAACCTTAGATCATATGCTAATTGGCCAGATTAACAACAAGCATTAAGTATAAGCAAAGGTGAAGATTATAAGTAAAACCCTAATTCATGTGATCGATCATCAAGCAATCATGAATGCTATCCTTTGACTTCACATAACTTAACAAGTAAACTACTCAGACATAGAGAAGGAAAACGAATCCATATTCTTAAGAACAGAGATCTGAATCCTCTCTTGAAAGAGAACAAGTAAGAACAAAGTAAAAGGCAAGCAAAACTTTATTAAGATGTAAAAAATCGTGGTCTCTCTCCTTCTTTGTGTTACAAGGCTAAAAAGATGTATTTATATTGCTCTAAGTATAGATGAGCGGCTAGACCTAGGTCTAATAAGTCGGTTGTGTAATTGGGCTTGAAACGTGTGAAACGGTCGGTCGGGACATTCGGCCGGCTTTCGGGTGATGATCAGCTATCGGCATGGTCGGGTCGATCGTGGCCGAGAGATTATTCGTTCGTTCATCGAGTTCGGCCGGACGGATGATATTGGTCGAGGGATTCGGCCGGACATGGGATGAGGCCTTCCTGATCGGACGGATGGGTCGTGCGTGTGGCTCGGGTTGTGCCGCACGGTCGTGAGGCGTTGCCCTCCTGCTTGCGCGGTGCGGTCGTGTGCGGCCTAAGGTCGCGGGGCTTCTGATTGGTCGACCGCGGGACGATGCTTTCTGGTTCGGTACGTGAGCTCGGCCGTGCCAGGTAGACGGGGCATGGAAGGCGACTGAGAGTCGGGCAGGATTAGGATGGTATAATTTCGATCCGGATACGGGTTCCACTCTGGTTGGGGCCACTAATTTGAGACGGGGATTATCCCCTTTACAGACAGAATTGGAAGCTTTGGTTTGGGCCATGTAATGTATGCTGGTTCATAACAAAAGACGAATGAATTTTTAAACGGATTGCGCAGATTTGGTGAAGATGGTATCTAAACCCGAAGAGTGGCGGGCGTTCGAAATTCTACTTGAAGAGGTGGACAAGTATAGAAGGAGTTTCGAGACATTCTCCTTGACTCATATCCCAAGAACGAAGAACACAAAGGCAGACAAGCTAGCACGACGTGCTCGAGATCAGCCTTACGATGTGTATTATGTAAACTCTGTTCCCCCGATCTCGCTTCCCGAATCGGTTTAGGAACATAGGCAGTTGACAGAAAAAAAAATAAAAAAAAAAGTATTGCACACTATATCAACCATATACTTCTAAGGTCACTTTGCTAAGAACAAGCAATTCGGGATGAGAGATTCGCAGAAATCAAGTTTTTCAACATATTAATGGATAAAGTAATAAACATCATATGTTAATCATTTAAAATCTTCTGTCAATCTAGAAAAAATACATACAAGATTAAGTAATACTAATTTAATATAAAAAGCAGCCAAAGTACAACTATTTGCAATGTTGGTACAACTAATACCTTTTTATAACTAAGTGTATTTTTCTGAAGGAAAAACGGCGCTAATTTTGTATGAAAGACAGCGCGACGGCGTGACGCACGTGTTTCGTGTGGTGGTTCATGAAAGGAAACAAAAAAAACGAAAAACTGTAACAATTATAAAAGGACCTTATTTTCTCTCTCTTCTCATTTTCCATTTTCGTTCTCTCTTCTCTTCTCCTCTCTCCCTCTCTCCTCCTTCTTCTACCTTTGAACCCTAGATCTGAGCCCGAGTCTCCGACCAGATCTGCAAATTCTCAAATTCTCTTCTTCTTCCGATTCGCTCTTCCTTGTAGATCAAACTTAAGTAAGTATAACTAATTTCAATTTCAGTTTAGTAGTTGTAGCGAATCTGGGATTGATTACATATGGGTTAGTTGTAGCGAATCTGGGATTGATTACATATGGGTTTTAGTTGTTGTAGCGAATCTGGGATCGATTTTCAGTCTTAGTAATTTTAGTACTTTTCGAGATTTTCAGAGAGATGTGGGGATCACCAGACAAAGCTACGATGAAGGCAATGATGAGGGAGATGGACTACTGATCGCGTGATCAGGTCTTCCCTTTTCCTATCCTTGATTCTGCAAGTTTACATGTCAGAAGTAGTAAACGGGTATCGAACACAAGGACCAGATTGCACACTACAAACTATGAGATTGAGATCGAGCTAGGGCGAACAGTATGAAATTGGTTGTGTGCAGTAAAAGTAAAGGCATGCAAGTAAAGTAAACAAGTAAAGAAGGTTGAAATCAATAGGAGATTAGGGCTAAGCAATAGGATAGTCTTAAGATAAGCAATTCAAGAAGCAAGAATTGATCGATTAGGGTTATTGTAATTAGGTGCCATCTAGAACTCGAAACAATATGGTATGATCTTTCCACTTTCGTGGCTCCGACCCCTTTGTTAACCTCCCTAGTCGCTAAACTATTAGTTTGTCCCTAGGTTATTAAATCAAGCATTAGTTCGAATAAGTTCTATTGTTCACAACCTACAAGTAAATCAACTTTCGCAGTCTAAGAGAGGTTGCCCACCAAATACTAGTTTAGGCGAATGATTCAACACTTTCGAGGCTCAAGTCAACCTTAGATCATATGCTAATTGGCCAGATTAACAACAAGCAGTACGTATAGCAAAGGTGAAGATTATAAGTAAGACCCTATTTCATGTGATCGATCATCAAGCAATCATGAATGCTATCCTTTGACTTCCCATCACTTAACAAGTAAACTACTCAGACATAGAGAAGGAAAACGAATCCGTAAGATGGAAAACGAATCCATATTCTTACGAACAGAGATCTGAATCCTCTCTTGAAAGAGAACAAGTAAGAACAAAGTAAAAGCAAGCAAAACTTTATTAAAGATGTAAAACAAATCGTGGTCTCTCTCCTTCTTTGTGTTACAAGGCTCAAAATATGTATTTATATTGCTCTAAGTATAGATGAGCGGCTAGACATAGGTCTAAAAAGTCGGTCGTGTAATTGGGCTTGAAACATGTGAAACGGTCGGTCGGGACATTCGGCCATCTATCGGGTGATGATCGGCTATCGGCATGGTCGGGTCGATCGTGGCCGAGAGATTATTCGTTCGTTCATCGGGTTTGGCCGGACGGATGATATTGGTCGAGGGATTCGGCCGGACATGGGATGAGGCCTTCCTGATCGGACGGATGGGTCGTGCGTGTGGCACGGGTTGTGCCGCATGGTCGTGAGGCGTTACCCTCCTGCTCGCGCGGTGCGGTCATGTGCGGCCTAAGGTCGCGGCGCTTCTGATTGGTCGACCACGGGACGATGCTTCCCGGTTCGGTACGTGAGCTCGGCCGTGCGTTCAGGCAGGATGGACGGAGTGTCCGGACGTTGGCCGATCGTGGTATGGATGTTCCTCGGTCGGCCGTTCCGCACGGTCTGGACGCCAATTCTCGGTTTGAGCCGTCTGGACTAGTCTTCACTAAATCGATTATAACTCTTTTTCTACTCATCTAAATGATGTGAATCCAATTGCATTGGAAAGCTAACTCACTCAGAGCTCGCGGCGAAGTGGTCTTGATGAAGTCCATTGAGTAGATTGTTTTTAAGCTCTTCTCAAAGTAGATGTTGTGGCATTGGACTGGTTTGAAGTCCAAATCCTCTGTTTTGCTCCATAATGCACCTTTTGACCTAAAATGACTCTTTGCAGTATAAATCTATAAAAATTACCTTTTAAGACAAGAATCCACTAGAAAACCATTAGAAAACCATAGTAAATTAGCATTAAAAGCATGTAAAATAGAGGTATATCAACTACATCACTCTCATCGCGGATGGTCAACGTAGAATCCCAAAGAAATGTCCATGTGGTGCACGCATCTATCACGAGATTTCGAAAATGGAAGGAGACTTAGGGAACAGATACTTTACATGCGAGGCATATAAGGTGAGTTATACTTTCACTCGAGATTAAATGAGTTATACGAGTCTTTGAGTTCTACATCTCTCAACTCTCATTCCTGATGATATATGCAGAATGATGGCTTCTACTGGCGTGTTCCTTGGTTTTACGGAGTTGAGGAAGAGTTCGACAAGTTAAGGGAAGAGATACATGAGCATCAGGCTAAGCAGAGTCAAAACCTGTTAAATCTTGAAACACAATTGAAGCAAATGAGTAAGGAGCTGAAAAAAACAGCGTGGAATGTTTGCAAAACTGAAGGACGTAGTTGACCAAGTTGTGAAGAACATCTTTGACGGATGGTAGTTCAATCAAGTTGGAGTGATAAACAAAATGTACTCCATATCCTATTCTCTTATCTCAGTGTGTTCTCGTCTTTAATAAACAAGTTTGTTTCATAAACAAGGTCTAGAAAACTTCTCTGAACCTATGTAATATTATTATCATCATCCATTATCACTATCTATCTTTTTTATGAATTCAGTGTACAAACTTTCTCAAAACTAGTTCAATCAATCTTAGTGTGACATAGTTTTACACTACAAACAATATGGGTATTCATAGCAGACGATAATAGCACTTTTCTGTATCTGCTATGAAATATTAATTTGTACTTTGAAAATCTTTTCATAGCACTATATAAATGTCATGCCCAAAAAAAAAAGAAGCGACTATTAGAAAGACTCTAGTGGCCAAATTATTCTAGTAAGCGGGAACACTTAGTGAAATATTCATATTTTTTTACTAATTACATAACAATTACTATTCATAGCATTAAGGAAAAAAGAACAGAGTTAAAAAAAAAATGTTTCTGAGAAGAAAAAACACCTCTCCTCTTCTCCGTCTTCTCTTTCACAAGTCAGATACTTTGTCTTCTCTGCCGAATCCGATTTCTTATGTCTCCGACTCCGATTTCAGCAATCCCTTCCCCTCTTTGCGTTCGATTAGGGTTTCAATTATCACCTAAGTCTTCCTCATCTCGCATCAGCTCTCTAGACCTCTGACTTCTATTCCAGAATTTCGAAATCTACGGATTCAGACATAAAGGTGAGTTCAAGCTTCAATACAGTTTTCGTTGTTAATTATCTTCAGTTTCTCGAGATGTATTTATCTATTAGAGTGCATGCAATTTGATTTTAGTTATATAGCAAGGTTTCTTTGTAGAAATCTACAAACTCGTTGTTTTAATCTCACTACGAAAACCATAGAATCGACTATGTGAATATAGATGAGCACAACTATTGTGGCTTTTGTCTTATCATTTCGTCTTCTGTTTGGTATGCCATTACAATGTTTAACTTGTGGTCTCTCCTGCTTGATTCATGTACATTTGTATGATCTGTGGGAAAGGCTATACGAGTGTCATAAACAATGTTGGACAAGGCATGGGTTAATTTATGCAGGTATGTACATGTCTTTTCTCTATCCTTTTTTCGTTTGAACAATGTATTGATCTTATGTGACTGGTGGTTTTGTTATTGCTGTTAGTACCACAATAGGTGTAGATGGGAAGATAACATGTCCATGTGCCATTTTCCGCAATCGATGAGGTAGTTTCTCATTTAGTGATGAATGGAATGGACGAGGGTTACAAGTTGGCGTCTAATTGGTTCCACCATGGAGATGGTAAATCTGTATCTGCAGTAGAAGGTGTTGATAGTGTGAGGAATACTGAGATTTTTGGATTATACGAAGCAGCTACATGTTTGGATGAGGATTTAGCTAGTAAGGGTTTAGATTTAGGAGAAGTTGTTGAGGGTGAGGATAGAAAGGAAGATGAGTTTTTAGCTAAACTTGCAGAGGCTGAGACGCCGTTGTATCCAGTGTATAAACCACAACAAGCTGTCACCTATAGTGTCTCTCTTTAGAATAAAGACTCAGAATGGTTGGTCCGACAAGAGCTTCAACGACTTGCTGGAAACATTGTCTAAGATGCTACCTAAAGACAATGTCCTGCACACTTCAACATACGATGTCAAGAAGCTCCTCAAATCTTTTGATATGGGATATCAAAAGATTCATGCCTGCGTGAATGATTGCTGCTTGTTCAGAAAGAATCTTAAGAAAGCCGAGAGTTGTCCTAAGTGCAAGGCTTCGAGATGGAAAACAAATATGCACACCGGTGAGGTCAAGAAGGGTGTTCCGAATAAGGTGTTAAGGTATTTTCCAATAATCCCTCGGCTTAAAAGAATGTTCAGAACTGAAAGTCTTGCTAAGGATTTGAGATGGCATTTCAGTAACAGGAGCAGTGATGGGAAACTGCGCCATCCAGTGGACTCTGTTACGTGGGTCTCAATGGATGCCACGTATCCATCTTTTCCAGCTGAGCAGAGGAATTTATGGCTTGGACACTCTACGGATGTGTTTAATCCGTTCAACATGAAGACCAGTAGATACTCTAGTTGGGCAGTGCTTCTGGTAAACTACAACATGGCACCTGATCTCTGCATGAAAGAAGAGAATATCATGCTTAGTCTTCTGATTCCTGGACCGCATCAGCCATGTAACAATATAAACGTTTACTTAGAACCGCTTATAGAAGATCTAAATCACCTGTGGACTAAGGGCGAGTTAACTTATGATGTTGTTAGTAAAACGACATTCACTCTTAGGGCAATGCTTCTTTGGACAATTAGTGACTTTCTGATGATAGGATTTGTGTGTGGTGTGAAAGATATGATATGAAATGTGGTGGAATGCAACAGTGGTATATAAGATGAGGTGGTAAGATGCAAACACAAACACAGTCAACAATTCCCTTAACCATCATAGTCATTATAGTATAAGGGTTATCAATCCAAAATGGGAAATTGTCACTCTATGAGAATATGAAAAACCAGGAAGTCAAGCAAGCAGTAAATGAATGGGTAACACTAACAACCTAATGAAATGAAATGCAATGCAATAAAAGTAAAAAAGCAGTAGAAGTAGCTCGACCAAGGACTCGAGTCGAGTGGAACAGAGTACCGAGCTCGATCGAGTTTAGGGTCGAGTTGAAGTAAAAAGCAATAAAGGCAGCGACTTTAACAAGCTAAGCGAGAATTAGGGTTCAAGACAGGGTTTTGCAATCAGGAAGCTACACTTAATCAATCTGCTCTTAAAACTCCTTGTATCAAGGCTTCTCTTGATATTGGGCTTCTCAATGCCTAGCAACCCTTTCCCAAGGTGAAGCTATCAACCAAGGAATGATCTCAGAAACAGGGGGTTAGCCAGTGAGAATCAAACCTTGGAGGCCATAGGATCATTGCCCAAACTAATCCATCCAACCCCTTAGACCTCCATTTCTAGAGCAAGAGATATTGGAGCTCTTAGTGGATCTTTTCCAGCGATTTCCATCACTTCCATGTGGAGAATCGCCTAAGGACATACAAGCCAGGGGTAGTGGTCATGTAGCCTTAAGATTATCCAAAAGAGAGAGAATCTAGATTAAGACCATAAGCAAGAAGGATTAAGCATATGAAACCTCTAATCTATCCCATCTCAAACCCTAATGGGTAACTACTCACTACACATGAATGTAAACACAAGCAAATGCAATGAAAAGAGACATCATAAGAAAGAGGAGATGAAATAAACAACTTTTATTGAAATAAGCAAGTGCAAATACAAAGAAGATATCCAGGATCTAGGATTCAAGAAGCAAGAGCTTCAAGAACACAAAGATGGATTAGAGTTCTAAAAAGTAAAAGACAATAAATTAAAAGAAAGCTAAAACAAAATAATCTAAAGCTTGGTGGTTTTTTCGTGGCTTAGAGCCTTTAAATACAAGAGGATTAGGTTTAGGGTCAAAGGAAAGTCAAGGGGGAAGCAACATTTTTCGGGTTTGACTTTGACTTCTCAGCTCGATCGAGTTGAAGCTTGGCCGGTCGAGTCGAGGTGGTCGAGCTGGTCTTCAAGATGGCTTCCTCCTTCTTCCTTTGCGTATCCAGTTGAGCTGCGTCCATGCCAAGTCCCTCCATGCTCCTCACGTCCCATATGCTCCAGAATGCTCCAAAAGACCTATTTCAAAGGACCAAACATGCATATGTATGCAAATGCAACCTAAAACTACATGAATGCATAAGAAGAGAAAAGGAACAAGATATGATGCTAATGGATGCTAAAACTATGCAAAAGATGCATAAAAGATGTACTAAAACTATGTAAAATGCAAGTACATCAACACCCCCAAACTTGACTTTGCTTGCCCTCAAGCAAACAAATAGAACAAGAAAGAGATGAGGTTTGAAAACAAGTTGATTCAACACTTAAAAACATGTCCTCAAAAGCGATTTGCTAAATGTCCAACTTAGAGATTCTAGAATGCAACAAGGTGAGAGATATTCATTAAGATTTAACCATGCTTATCAACATCAATCCCACTTCACAGTCACTCAAACAATGCATTCAAATCAGCAAATCCCTTTAACATTCATTAAGCAAAAACAGTGAACCAAAAACATGCAAGATCAATCAACTCATTTGGTTTCAAGGGTTTATGGGTTAAGAGACAAAGAGGGTCTCTTTTGTATGGTGGTTTAGTAACAGGGATCTCTCAAGAAAGTGGCTTTGCTTTGGCAGAAGGCTAAGTGTTAGAACCAAAGATGATGCAAGAACAGCAGCTCGAGCCGCCTAATCCTAACTCGATCGAGTTCAACACTTAGAGCTTTTTAGAACAAAATCCTAACTACCCTTTTTGGCATTTCGCCTTTGAAACTGAGGAGCTTTGCTCACTTTTCTTTTAAGAACTTCCTAGGGAGAGGCTTCTTGAGGTAACATCTAGCGGTTTGGGATTTTCTAAACACTTAGGGAACTTTTCTTTCTTTTTGACACTTGAGGCTTTGCCTTCTTCTTTTCTTTCTACTTAGAACCCTTTTTACTTCCTTTTTTAACTTCCCAAACCTTTACTAGACCCTTTTTAACACTGCCAACTCCCTGGACTTAACTAAACTCTTTTTCCTTTGGATTTTCCCAACTTTTACCACTTTTCTGGTTTTTGACACCCAACTCGATCGAGCTCGAGTTGGCACCCCCAAACTTAGCCTGAAAACAATCCCAAGAGAACTAGACAACTAGAACTACTGCCCCTGCCGGTTTAAACACAACACCTTATGCTAAGCAAAGCCAAGAAAGGTTCTCACAATCGCACAAGAGATAATATGGGGTTTGAAATGAAAAGGCTTAGGTTTAAGGTGTGGTAACTGTCTCAAAGATGGAGATCAGCTATCTGGACAAGCAAGAGGGATATGAAAATAGGTAAAGAATGTCCAGATATGTATGTGGTAGCCATGAGTTGAAATCAAATGCAAGCATTGGTAATTAAAGATCAAGTTATGGTTCAAATAGATAGGGAAATGCATCAAATCACAGCAATGGTTGAATGAGATGTGCATGCAGTGATATGATCAAGATAAACATGGTTCTTGCTGCTCAATCAATCTCACCCTAATGCACAAAAGAATCTAAAAACAGGGCACTCAAGAAATCGCAAATGATGAACAAGTTTTCAAAGTCAAATCAACAATGCAAGTGAAAGATGCAATCCTAAACAATCTAACAAATATGAATGCAAAAAGATGAAAATATTTTTGGATTTTTTGAAAATTTTATGATTTTTTTGGTTTTTCTATGCAAAAGATGAATGAAAAACTAAGAACAAAGAAAACAAGGTTAAATCATCTCTTGAACCCTCCCCCAAACTTAAATCACACAGTCCCTTGTGTGAGAGAAATTTAGTGAAAGATTCAAGAGGGCAAAACCAAGAAAAAAAAAACAAATGCAAGAAAATATGAAATGGTATTACAAGGGTTGGTGTTTGATACCTCAGTGCCCCCCAAAGAACTGGGAGGCAAGGTCGTGGTCTGGAGAGGGCAGACGGCCATCAGGAGCACTCCACTCGACTGTTGTCACTCGATCGAGCTTGCTCTCCTCTTCTTCCTTCTTCATCTCGAAGTGGTGTGGCTTCCTTGGCCTTGGTGGAGCTGTGCTCGCTCGAAGCGGTTGTAAGGGGTCCAGTGGCTCTGAGGAAGTCCTGGTAGCGTGTTGGATCGTACTCGAATCCAGGGTTCTCGAATGAAGGCTCCTCCAGTCAACTCGACCGTCAGCTCGATCGAGTCCGACTCGATCGAGTTGGAGCGTCGTGGCCTTGGAACTCTTCCTCCTTCTCTGCGTGTTGTCTTCTCCTTCCCTTGGCTCGAAAGAGAGGCTCTGTGAGGCTCTTGGGCAGGAGCCTCCTTGGAGTGGTGAGGAGATCTACTCCTAGGGAATGTAGGCCATGGGTGCCTTCTTCTTCTTGCTTGAAGAACCAGAGACCTTCTTCTCCAAACTCTTGATCTTGCTCACCATCTTGTCCATGGACTTTTGCATTTTGTCATGGCTTTCCCTTGCCACTTGTTGAACCTTTGGAGAAGTCCAATCCTCTTGTGGCAGCCACAACAGAGGGGTTCATCCTTGGAGCCTCATACTCCTCAAAATAATAGCACTCAGGCTCACCCAAATCCTCATTCACTTGGCTGGTCCTCAACTCGATCCTCAGCTCGATCGAGTTCAGGCTCCTCTTCTCGCAAATCTCTCATGCCCAACTAAGTGTGAAGGGGGTCTGAAGTCAATGTTCTACCCCTACAACTGTGGTGAGCTCAGGGTTGGGCAGAGAAGCTTGGAAGGGCCAGCCAATGGATGTGTGAACTTGAATTGGAACCTCCCATCCAACTTTGTTCAATGAGGAGGTTGGTCTTGCAAAACTTGATGTCCATCAAAGGAGCTAGCTCGACCAATAGCTCGATCGAGCTAGAAACCAGGGCAACTCGATCGAGCTACACAACTCGACCGAGGTAAGTTTTTGAATTTCAAATTCATAACCGTTTTCTTGGTCAAGGGAGTGGGTCCCACAAGCTGATTTTGGTCCCCCACTACCCTATTTTGATCAGAGAATCCCTAGTTTCTTGTTCCCTCTTTATTTCATCTTTTAATCTCAACCACACATCTCAAACACCCCTCTCCCCCATAACTCGATCGAATCCACTCTCTCTCTCTCCCACAATCTTAAAATTTCTGAAATTCATCCATCTCTCTCAACCACAAGAAATTTTTTTCGAATCCCTCTCTTTCTCTCTTAAGTTTTTGCATTTTCCTCTTGTGCTTCACCAATTTCGTTTGGGTTCTAGCTTACTGTTCTTAATTCATCATTCAAAGCAAGGTATGAACCCTAGAACCTTTGATTACCCCATCTCGATTTCCTTTATTGATTATTTTCTCTTCGATTTTTGATTGCATGTGTCCCTTGTGGACTTGTTCTTGAATATTACCCTCATATTTCGCCTCTGCTGTATAGTCTTGTTAGTTTGTTTCACCTCACCTCTGTTTTGCCTTTAAACTTGTTGCATGTGCTTGAAGGATTGAATTTGAGTTTGGTTTTGGTTAAGATGATTAGTACTTCTCTATATTGCTCATTGTTCCATTTACTAGTTGTTCTTGGTTCAATTTGGTTGATTATCATCTTTTCCAGCTTTTAATCTTGAATTAGGTTTGGTTATACTCTGTTTTCACCCAACTCGATCGAGTTTGTCACTCGAGTTTTTTGACTCGATCGAGCTGGGTGTCGAGTTGACCAAACCGATCATTACAACTCTAATTCTTTGTAATCTTTGATGCATTTCAGGTACTTTAGTGAAGAAACAGAGTAACAAGGATGACAACAGTGAGGGAAGCCGCGCTTCACAGAGGAGAATGGTTGAGGGTGAGTCAAGCAATGCAAGAGAGACAAGGCTTAAGATGCAAGCCGATTTGAAGAGGATGGATCAGAGGATGGAAGTCTGATGCAGAGGAGTATGTCTACTCTGAGGAACAGTCTGAGAGTGAGAGGCTGAGGGAAGAAAGGAGAACCAAGAAGAGGAATGACCCTATAAGTAGTGAGAGTGAGCAATGGGAGTTTGAGATTGGAGTGAACCTTGTTCAAGAGGGGGAAATGGCTCTCCAAATGAGGAAGGCAGTGAGGAAACTGAGAGTGATGAGGAAGGAGAAGAGGTGAACCAATTGGTTGATGAAGATGACCAAGAGGGGAACCAAGATGAGCCAATGGAAGAGGCTGAGGAAGAGCAAGAGGAGGATGAGCTCCCCATGTACCAAGAGCACTACAATGCTCTCTTCTCCATGGACTTTGTGGAGACTAAGCACCCACACGATGACACCATGAGAGATCTTGGTATCTTTGAGGATGTGGAGTTGGTGCTCAAGAACATGCAATTGGGGAAGTTCTTCTCTCACCGCATGGAGTCTTACAAGGAGTTGACTTGTGAGTTTTTGGCGTCGATGAAGCATCACGAGTTTGATGAGCTCGATCGAGCTGAGTTGGACCGAGGCTGGGGGTACATAACTTTCCTAGCAAAGGGAGAGAAGAAGATGGTGACCTTTAGGCAGCTTGAGATACTGTTTGGGTTCACCTATGGAGAAGGTAACCTGTGGAACATCAAGGAAGAAGAACTCCAAAGAGTATGGGCTACAATAGCTGAAGAGGGGTACTCTTCCTCAAGGTCCAAGGCTGCCCAGATCAGAAGTCCTGTGCTTAGATATGTCCACAAGGCTCTTGCAAACACCTTCTTTGCAAGGAAAGCCACTGGAACAATCAATGAGGGAGAAGTGAAGCTCCTTACCATGGGAATCAAGCCTATCATCTCACGAACTAGGGATGGGAAGAAGATCAGAGGAGACAGGGCACACGCAGGGAATCTCATGCCTCTCCTTGAGCAGCTCCAAGCCTACAAGGTCACAGCTTACAACACTAGGCACCAAAGAGGAAGAAAGCTTAGTGTTGGAGGGGTGATCACACCAATTCTTTGTGCAGCAGGAGTTCAAGTGGACAAGAGAAGGTCTACTCCACCAGGTTGGATGGACATCAAGTTTTGCAAGACCAACCTCCTCATTGAGCACAAGGAGTTGGATGGGAGATTCCAATTCAAGTTCACCCACCCCACGGCTGGACCTCCAAGCTTCTTCTGCCCAACCCTGAGCTCACCACGGTCCTAGGAGGTACAAACATTGACTTCAGACCCCCTGTGTACACTTTGGTTGGGCATGAAGCGGATTTGCAAGAAGAAGAGATCGAGCTCGATCGAGCTGAGGATCGAGCTGAGACTCAAGCTGAAGATGGAGTGCAGGAAAGCGCTGACTTGGGTGAGCCTGAGTGCTATTACTTTGAGGAGTATGAGGCTCCAAGGATGAACCCCTCTGTTGTGGCTGCCACAAGAGGATTGGACTTCTCCAAAAGCTCACCAAGTGGCAAGGGAAGGCCATGGACAAGATGCAAAAGTCCATGGATAAGATGGTGAGCAAGATCAAGAGCTTGGAGAAGAAAGTTCTGGTTCTTCAAGCAAGAAAAAGAAGGCACCCAAAGCTCCCACTTTCCCTAGGAGTAGGTCACTCCTCACCACTCAAAGGAGACTCCCTGCCCAAGAGCCTCACAGAGCCTCTTCTTTCGAGCCAAGGGAAGGAGAAGACAACACGCAGAGAAGGAGGAAGACTTCCAAGGCCAGACGCTCCAGCTCGACCACCGGACTCGATCGAGTCCAAACAGAGGAAACTCAACTCGTCGAGCTGACGGTCGAGCTGACCTGGAGGAGCCCCAGTTCGAGGATCCGGGATTTGAATACGATCCCATGCCTTACCAGGAGCCTCCCCGGAGTAGATGGAACCCCTATGGACAGTACGAGCTACCAATGCTCCACCAAGGCCAAGGAAGCCACACACATTTCAACGATGAAGAAGAGGAGGAAGAGGAGCCACAAGCTCGATCGAGTGAGCCACAAGAGGCAACCCCAGTTGCATGGAGCGCTCCTGATGGCCGTCTCCCATCTCCAGACCACGACCTAGTCTCCCAGTTCTTTGGGGGACACTGAGGTATCCAAACACCAACCCTTGTATATACCATTTCATATTTTCTTGCATTTGTTCTTGTTTTTTCTTGGTTTTGCCCTCTTGAATCTTCACTGAATTTTTCTCACACAAGGGACTGTGTGATTTAAGTTTGGGGGAGGGTTCAAGAGATGATTTAACCTTGTTTTCTTTGTTCTTAGTTTTTCATTTATCTTTTGCATAGAAAAACCAAAAAAATCATAAAATTTTCAAAAAATCCAAAAATATTTTCATCTTTTTGCATTCATATTTGTTAGACTTGTTTAGGATTGCATTTTTCACTTGCATTGTTGATTTGACTT